GCAAGATCTGACTAAAATTTTGTTTTTGGATGAGTCAAGATTTTGTTTAAGGTCTTCTGACTGCATAGAAAGCAGGAAGGAAACACTCCGTACTAAAATGAATATTTTCTTTTTTTTTCAAGTTTCTATAGCAACATTTTTGATAAAATAATTTTACTCAATCAAAATTTTTATGCAATTTATTTTATTTAGCTACATCTTCTATTTTTCTTACAAAATATTCAGTAAGTAAATAAATAANTTGATAGTAAGTATATACTAAAAAAAAACATGGTGACAATTTTTGTCTTTTTATGTAACATGCTGAACCGCGGCATTGGGTCACTGTTGGGTCTCTACACTCGCGGGCTTGTTGAACTACTCCTGGAACTTCAACCGCCGACTCGCAGACCAACACCCAGCATCAGCATATAAACATCGACTATTGAGAAAATAATATCAACTTTTTTTAACGGAGGTTTGTAACAGCAGTTTGTTTTTGAAAAAAAAAAATGAACCCTATTCGTAAATTTGTTGGGACACTAGGACCATTGCTTTACCATCATGAGTCGACATGACACCTTAACCTTTGCGGCCATCGATGGCCTAAAATAAAATGTAAAATAAATACCCTATAATAAATTTTTTAGAAAGGTAAATCTCATTAAATCTCGCAAAGAATAACGCAAAAAAACCGTTACATAAACAAATGCAAATTGAAACAGATTGCATTTCTTTAATTGGCCATAAATATTTTTCTTATTTGAAAACCTCTTCTTACCTAATATCTCTCAAAATAAAAGCTTAGTTTGAAAATAATTCGACGGAAAATGTTTTTTGAGGTCTGGCCAAAAAGCAATATTTTGTTTATACGTAGGCGGTTATTGACAGCCTTTTCTGAAGGGTCGTCGCCACGGTGAGCGTGTCATATTAATAAAAGGAAAGGACGCATGTCACTCGTGGGGTCAATTTTTCTCCCTTTTATTTATTAAAGATGGATTCCGCCGTTTGGATCTTCAGGCTGACCTATCTGAATGTAGAATAGATTCCAATGCTTCTACCCCTGACATCCTCGCTGTGGCTCAGGGCTGGAATTGAATTGGACGTCAGCCGAATAAGACGAACCTTCATTTTACAATGCATACCATTCCATCTGCTGATTTTTCTTTCCTCTGGAAAATATGTATTTTCCTTCTGTTTTTTAAAGTCAGAATGAAACGTGAATTGTCAGGCATATATATACATAAAACGGTCCTTAGAACGCTGTTCTTTTCTACTAATAGAAATTAAACATGAAAAATAAAAATGGCTATTGCATGAACATAGAGATGGACAAATCTGACTTGTCTCACATAAACTATTTTGATTTTTTCCGACTTATCACAGTAAATTTATGTAACTCAGTATTTAAATGACGTTAGACGATTGCTAAACCAATATAATTGAATAACAGTTAATATCTCACTTTTTCTATCTTCTTACATTCAGTGATTCATTAATTTAGGAGGCCATGTGAGTATTACAAATTACATTTATTTATCAGCAACCTCATTGAAATTAAGTAATCTGTTGGGTGTTTTACTTTCATGTGCATTTTGTCATACATGGATGAATAAATAAAATAAAAAAATTAAAGGTGGTTTGTATTCTAGTAATTTAAGCCATCAGACCCGAATTAGAGCTAAACGCGTTTTCATCCTTCTTTTTTGTTATCATTCAAAATTAAAATTTTAATAATCATCACCCAAATTATAATAGCTATGCAATGAACCAAGGGATATTATGTTCTTTTTGATAACGCGTTGGAGGATTTTAATGTAAGATTATTCTTGTAATCCATATTAATCTGTCTTGAATACTTCATCATTTTTCCTTTGTTATAAACTTTGTTTATTATAATAAAGTTGATCTTGCCATAAAAAAAGTCCGACTAGAAATAACTTTCAAAAGAATGTTTTTTCAAACCTAAGAAACTTTTACTCTACTATTATGAACTCGGTATGATTTTTATTTATTAATATCTCATTTTCTATATCAAAATTGGCCTGCACACAACCAATTAAAATGTTAATAACCAAAATAATGAAAATCAGAGGTCAAAATAAAATATTTAATAGATTGAAACTTCTTTTGCCTCAATTAAATTCGGTACAGCACACAAATTTTACATAAATTTTATATAAAACATAAATACGAACTAAACAATTATAATACTGAGTTATATATTTTTAGTGAGACTTCAGAAATGGATAAATCTTAAAAAAAAACTAAACCGATTAGGTTTGAAGACTACAAACGCTCTATTAAATTTTCTCCTCTCCCCAACAAATAAGATTTCCTTTTGTCGTTTCGACTTTTTCCGTTTTCTTTTTTGGGCGTTCTCTTGAAGGAACTTTATTTATTTCCTTTTTCACAAGACAACAAAGCCGGTCTTTGAGTCCGAAACGCTGTTTATAAAAGTCTTCATGAGGTCCCGGGCTACCTGAAAGTGATTGTTGTTCGTCGGGAAGGGGGGGGGGTTTCTTCATGAAATGAAAACGTTTTGGTTTTCGTGATTGGTCGCCAATAGAAAAAAAAGTTATGAACCATTGAGAAGAATGTTTGTCAAAATTATCTGACCATGTTTTTTAAAGTCCGAAGTCACAGAAATTTTCAACGATTTCGCTGTAAAATGCAATAAGATTAAATGCCATTATTTAGCCTAAAATTTGAATATAGCTGTTATTAAAAAAATATCTTTCGTTTGCCATTTTAATCAAATCTTTTCCAATTGGCTGTATATATAAAATTATACTACTAGCATTAAATTAATGCTACTTTATTAAATATTACTTTATGATCATCATCTTTTATTAACTCTTTGAAACAAAGTGTTGTACCATTAAGCCAAAACAATTTTAATGGATAAAAACTATAAAAAGTTACAAATAAAACTAGAACATGGGAATAAAAAACTTGCAATACAGTTGCTTCCCCGCATGTAAAGTATTATCAAGATTTTATGGTCATTGTTGGTAGACCATCTTTTACCATATTTTTTTTTAATAGAAAAAGAAGCTAAATCTGGAAGTTAAAATACGTTTTAACCGTTAAAAATCAATAAATAATGCATTCTTTAGGGGTAGCTTTTGATTAAAGATTAACGTGAAATAGACATCTTAAGAAAACCAACAAGAAAGCACTAGGATATACCAAATTTACTTAACGTAATCCTCAAACTGCCACTCTCACGTATCGTATAGTCGATTAAAAGTTTCTTAGATTTGAAGAAAGATTCTTTCAAAACTTATTTCTGGTCGGACTTTTTTTAAGGCAATATCAACTTTATCATAATAAAAATGTTTGTATCAAAGAAAAAAATTATAAAATATGCAGCCAGATTAATATGGATTTCAAGAATAATCTTACATTCAAATCCTCCAACGCGTTGACAAAAAGACCACCATATCCTTAATTCATTGCATATCTATTCAATTCTTCGCACAAATTTCTTCCCTATCTCTTGAAAAAACTACATATAAAGTTTTTTCAGTTCTAAATTTTCAAAATAAATTCCAGACCATCAATTTGGTTTTCGTAAATGTCAGTCAGCTGCCCAACAGCGCCATCGTGCATTTGACTGTACCTCATCCTTTATAAGTTAAAGTAGTACAATCCTCGTACCGTTCTTTACCTAAGACTAGCTTTTGATTGTTTGTCGCCCTGGCAAGCTGTTCCTTCTCCTGCCTACTATTTCAGGTTCACAGCTATACGTTTTTAACGAGTCATTGAAGGCAATGTTATGCTGGTCTTCCTCAGGGTTCGGTTCTGGCCCTCACACCTTGCCGATGTGCACACTTGACACCCATACCATCCTCAAACCCCTTATTTATTTCTTAAATGCTTTCTATCTTCTGCGTGTTTCATTGACCTTTTTCTAGAACACGATATCTTGTACAATTTGGTGGGGGTAATGACGAGTAAAATATTCACGAGTGAGACTACTCTGTCCTATTTTCAACTGCGTAAGAACTGTTTCCTCTTTTCTTGATTTCCGGAAGGAAAGCTCCACATTACGGTTTTATTTTTTATGTACCCTCGTACACGCATTTAAATCTTTTATTAGTAAAAGTAAACAAAAATGGTCTTTGAGACTTGAAGAAGAAAGAAGAGATTTGAACATTTTAAGACAGGCAACTCAAAAAATATATAAACTGTAATGCTCATAGTATTGATATAGGGCGAGGAATAGTGTCCTGGAGTGAATACAATCGTGCTAATCTCATTGATCGGCCGAAGGGTGGACAAGGACAGAATTGTGAATTTTTGAAGGTTTCAGGGTGGGAACCGGAGGATGGGGGAAAAAGGATTCGGATCGTTACCCACCTCATACAAAGGATAATTGTCCGACCAGAAAAGATGTTTGATTATCTTTCGATTTGCCCCATTTCCCCGTCCTTTTTCTTCTGCCCTCTTCACCACTTTGAAATTTATTATTCATTTTCGCCTTCTTAAGAAAATCAGTCCGCCTATTTAAATATTTGCCCTTCCTGTGATTAAAGAAGTCGTATTTTAGAAAGACAAAGAGGTTTTTTTTTGTCATTTACATTTTATTCTTGCAACGCCTTTTTCTTGATAGTTATTTAAAACAGAAAATATTAAAGAGAATAATTTGGAACCACCTTTTATTAAAGACTGGGTTCTCTGATGAAAATCGTATATTTTATTCACAACGTTTCCTATTAATTAAAGTTTCAGGAATTTCGGTGGCATGTTACCTCTCGTCGGTGGTATTCATGCATTCGCGTTCCTTCATAGCGCCAAGTTTGCCTAACATTTCATAAATACCTTTCTTTAATAATGTTATAAATTGTAAGTTCAATAAGTTAAACAACGTTGGTACAAACAATAACCCGTCTCACGGAACATAAATTCCAATTGATTAGTAGCTGGTTAGATTCTCGCATTATACATCGGAAAAACTATAAACACTATATACAGTTATATAAAATAATAATAGTTTATTATTCTTATTGTTACAGGTGGTGATGGGGGAGGGTGGAGACGCAGTAGCGACGGCCATGTTGAGATGAGGAACCGTCCCGACTTCCTCTATTTACTGCTGATCACCCTACTTACAGGTCAGTTGTATTAACTTGGAAGTTTTTGATCAAAAATCTGGTTGGCCGAGAAACCATTTTTCCCACGAGGGATTACTTCACGAAAAAATCAAAAAGGTCCACCGCAAGGAGAAAAGTTTCTCCAGTTTCCCCCTCGAGGCATTTACTCTTTCGACAATGTACTTGCTTCGCTATAACGTCTGAGCTTGCTGGGCGTTATCAGATAGAATAAGTTTCAAGTAAAAAAAATATACTTAGATCGCAAGGAGAGACGATAAAAATATTATAGTGTTTACATTTTTTGAAAAACTAGTTAGACATCATAGAGAATATTTAGATAAAACATAACTGTTGCCTTACTTAATTACTTATTAACTAACTTACAAACATTTTTGATTAGATTCAATTCGTTCCCACAACTTATTTTACCATCCAGTGGAAACTATCTCAATAATCCAAATATCATAACCCGACAAACCCTCCAGTGACCTACCAACACAAACCATCCCCTTATAGACGTAATTCCTTTTTATTTAATCCAAAATCGTTAACAAGTTTTTCTTAAAACATTTATTTTCATATGAGACTCTCAACACTTAATCCCTGCCTATCAATTTGTCTTCATTCATTTAATCATGGCTTTCGAGTAGTCGATGCGATATCCTTGGCTTTAGACAACATGGAGTATTGCTCAGCCCCAGACCTGGACTAGGACTATTTATGGAGGCATTTGACAACGTAGCATACCCAACATAGACTATCGTGTTCTGTAGTCCTTCCTTCCACTCAGACTGCTGTATAAAATGAGCATCGGGCATGATTTTTTACAAACTTAAGTGGCTTCCCGCAATGAGTAGGAACCAACCGGATTTTATTTTAAATTAAGTTATGTAGTCAGAGATTTTTGCTAGATTAATAAAGTTGAAGATGATGAGACAATTTATCTATAAATTTATTGGTGGTAATTTGAGTTTCTTGTGTGAAATTTGTTGCACAATAAAGAAACATACAGTTCTTTTTTGGATCGTAAATTGAATACTAAAAAATTCAATAAGCCTAGTAAATAATCTATTATCTAGTTTATTTTAGTCATTAAACTAAAAAAATTTTTTTTAATGTAAATTAGTAACAAGTTAATTATATTTAACATAGGTTTAAAACTAAGGATTAAAATTAAACAATATTCCAAAAATATAATTTTACACCTTTCTTATTAATTGATGTTTCTTGTCCAAATAATTTTGCTCCGAGCAAGGTCAATGAATACATTTTGCTATATTAGCTCCTTGTATCAATAATATTTACTATTACTTTATAATAGGAATTGTACCAGTATGAAAAACGATACCGTTGATTTCCACCAAGTCAGACCAAATTCGAAACATGATGTTATGATTAACTTGGCCTTTAGATGTGGTTAATGAGGTTAACCATCTTTCATGATCTCTGTCGAACTTAGTCGTTTTACGGAATACGTATTTCATATGTTTCATATGTTGTTGGGAAAGCAAATCACAAACGGAAATGCGGGCTCTTAAATTTCTCTTAACGAGCGTGGGTATTCGAGTCTCGCTGAATTGACCGCAAGTATATTCGAATAAACAAAAACAAAACAGATATATTTATAAATTTCATTTAATTATTTAACAATTTAATTTTAATAAAAAAATTATTTAAAATTATTTTTACTGCAGGCCTATTATGTGATTATATAATCATACCTTAACGAGAGATTTTTCGCAGTAAACGAGGGTACGGATACTTTTGGGATGGAAGAAATGCTTGCAGGTGTGCCACAAGGGCCAATACTCGCTCCGCTGTTGTACACAATTTTTACTTCTGCTATTCCCACAAATGAGAAAGCACTTACCGCCATATACGCAGTAGACTCCGCCATATTAACAAGTCATCCCTCTTCTACACAAGCCTCACATATTTTACAAAACCACATATCAACAATTGAAAAATAGAGCAATCTTTGGAAAATAAGGTTTAACCCCTCAAAGTCACAACATATCACCTTCACACTCCGTCGTTAGATTTGTCCTAGTAGATACTTACACAATGAACCTGTTCCTCGATCCGACAAAGTAAACTATTTAGGACTTACATTTGATAGAAGACTAACTTGGAAACCACACACGATTAAAAAAAACAGAAACTCAACAAATTATTTAAAATGTTTATTAGCTACTCGACCGACAATCAAAATTACGATTAAAATCAAAACTTTCGACGTACTCATACCTTCTCAAACCTGTTTCGATGTACGAGTGCCAAGCTTATGCCAAATATTCCAATATTCAAAGATTACAAAGTTTTAAGTCCAAAATTTTAACACTAATAATTGTTTCTGCCCCCTTCAATGTAAACAATAACCCACTTCACAGAGATCTTCACATGCCAACAGTTTTTTCATCCATCAAAACATAGTACAGACGTTTTCATAGTAAATTACAAAATGACACACACACAAATACTATTATTCCAATCCCCACAATTACCACGTAAACGTCTGAAAGAATATGGATAAGCGACCTCTTAAATTATTAATATCATTTTATTAATCCACAGCTGCTGCCAATGGATAGCTTTCTCTACAACGCCTGTAATGCCATAAACATAAATTGAAATCCAATCTGCTGGTTGTATATAATACATATACAGTTGTACATACAAACAAATGAAGTCAAAAAAATTAACAACCTGTGATGTTTAAAAATATTCGACCGGACGTTTTGAATATTCCCTGCTTTTCGCCATTTTTCAAATATCGTGTAATCTATTTGATTCTCGGCGACAAATAATGTGGCCATGGAGAACTTTAGTGAAGTATTGAAAAATGGCAAAAAAATTCGAAAGGTGGATTGAGATGGGAAGTTGGTGTCCGAGTGGATCGAAGTCACGATAGCTCAAGTGGTAGAGGAGCGGCGTATTTAGCCGAAGGTCATGGGTTCGAATCCCACCCGTGACACTGACTTTTTTATCTCAACCAATACCTTACTTAAAAATTAATTATAATTATATTTGGAGATCTTGTGATGCGGTCTGGTGTGACGTAGGTTTTAGAAAATCATTTTCTTTATTGTGCCAACGTTTCGATCTTTATTGAGATCCTCTTCAGGGCCTGGGATTTATAAATATTGTTTAAATTTTACAAATACATGTAGGATGTGAAACAAATGAATTTATACAATGCTAGAAAATTTAGACTCATTCAAAGTATTTGTACTTTCTCAAAGTGTTTGTTTTCCGTGTAGATGTGTCATTCTTCTGAGACGTGTTAAGAGTGCTAGTGAGATATTGATGTTTTATGTATATATACGTTGGATTTTGAAGGAGTGGGGAAGGAAGTTTGGATAGAAAGTCATTTTTATATAAGTCGGCTTCTTTGAAGTGAAAGGGAAAAAATGGGCAATTGTTCAGCCTGATTATCCTTTCAAGACACAAAATAATGACACATCTACTCAGAAAACAAATACTTTGAGTGAGTACAGGTACTATGATTAAGCCTAAAATTTCTAGCATTGTATAAATTCGTTTTTTTCCACATCCTACATGTATTTGTAAAATTGAAACAATGTTTCAAAATCCCAGGACGTGAAGATGATCTCATTAACGACGAAACGTTGGCACAATAAAGAAAATGTTTTTCTAAAACCTACGTCACACCAGACCGCATCTCACGATCTCCAAATAATCATTATTTAACAATATTAGATAGTCTGTTTTCGCTTTAAAATTACTATTTTTGCCCTTCGATAAGCAAATTACTTAAATCTTTACATATTTAGAATAAAAAAAAAGAAATATGGGCAACAACAGACCAAAAGAACTGTTTGATTTCGTGAGCAAGATCTCGCTAACTTTAAACTTTAAGACTGACAAACAATCCATAGAAATAATTTATGAGATTTTAATTAATCAATAACATAATGGCATAAAAAATTTAAGATTTCAATGTTTCTTCATTGCAAAGTAATGAGAAAAAAGAGTATGCCAATATTATTTTCATTTTGTCGAATAATGTTATGATCATAAAGTTTTTTTTAGAAGAGAAAACCAATATAAATCAGTTTTTATTAAAGTCAAAAAATGATCGTTTGAAACAAATTGTAGATTGGCTTTATGATAATATTAAAAAATAAGATTTAATAGTAGTGTAATAACGTATCTACAATGTATAAGGGAACTTTCCAATAGGTAGATTTATATTTTTAACGAGGAGATTTTTTTTGTAAAAATTTATGGGAAATAATCCAAATCAATGTGTAAAGATAATATATTCAAATGTATATTGCTAAATAGATAAAAACGGGCTGAAACCGGGGTCCGGGTTGTTTGCCCAACCAGACTGTTCCGCCGGCGGGGATGCAGATAAGCTGGGTCGGCATTAAACCACTCCGTCGGACGAATGTTTTCATTTTCGCGTAAACCGGGCTGGAAAAGGGCGTAATTTTATTTTATTAACGGCCCAGGTGTTCGCCGTATGTTAATTGGTGGTGGTACATTTACGTAACCGGGCCCGTGCAATTTCCATGGGTTACGCCCGCGCCGTCGTCTCCTCCCGGCGGCATTCACCCTACGGAATCATTTTCCCTCCCCGCAGTCGCCCCCATGAAAGTTTTCCTTACCCTTTAAGTAATTAAAATACTTATTAAACTCCTTGGTACTGTGATTGAACAGCCACCATTTTACCCCCACTTCCTTATGTTTATTCAGTGCTAATTATATTTGCCTTCTCTTTCATGCAGTTCCTGCGGGAAAGTTTTTATTTCAATTTTAATACTTTCGCCTTTTCAATGGAGTCGTTTGAAGTAGAACGCCACTCCATGAACCAAGCCATATATAAAACCATTAACCAGTGGCCTTTTGTTTTACACAATTGATTCCAATTTTCTAAAAAGACATGCACACATTTTATTATCCCTAGAATGTTGAAACGTTATAGGAGAAAACCTTACATCAGTACTAAAAGTTGAACATATTAAGAACAAATATTAGTAAATTACAAAGAACAT